CAGGCAGAGCTTCTCCACTGGTATACCTGAGATCAGTTTCAAGTACATCTAACACTTCAGCACCCCCCCCCCCCCGCTCCCCGCCCCGCCCCCGTCCTCTGAAGAGTCAAGGGTGGAGAGAGACCTATGGCTAGTCAGTTATGGCTGTAAGAAGTCTTGACCAATTACCCGTATAGGCGATACAAATTTTTCCACTTCTATGAGTGCGTGGCATGAAAATTTTCAAAACATAATCAAGCACAATTATTTTCCACCCTACTGTCTTTTAACTCATGATGTAATTAATTATTTAAACTGTACCACTAAAAAAATAAAATAAAATAAACTGTACCACTTTAGGCAAAGGATGAAATAGATTTGAAAAGATTACCTCTACCTGTAGCATATTCCATTTCAATGAACTTCAGTGGTGTAAGGTATTACACTCGGAATTGGATATAACAATGTTCAACAATGCAGAACCAACTTGCTTGGTTATTCGAACACCTCATTACAATTTTTCTGTTCTGAGAATTTTTTTTCCTTTTCCATTATGGGATGTACATATAAAATAATGTTTTGGAATATAGGAGGGTATATTATAATGTTTACTTATTACTTCATTATGTTGTGGCTTTTTAAATTGTACATAGTTTTAGAACAGTATTTAGTATTACATACAAAAATTTCATAAGTAAACATATATATCCAAAAAATAGAGAGGTCCTGAAAAGTTTTTACTACTGAAATATGAAATCAAAATTTTGAAGACTGTTGACTTACATTCTTTCTCCTATAGCTACTGTGTGAGTTTCCCCAGGGAGTCTCTAGAGATAAATGATAAAACTGACTAGAAATGGCTCAGATTGAAACAAATGCAAATTTCATTTTGCTTCTTTAGTACAATGAGTTCACATCTACAAAAGACTGCTCTCATTTACCAAAGATAATACTTTCTCCAGTGATATACATTTACTGTCTATACTTATAATAAGTACCCTCATTTATTGAATACATTGTTTTTACTACATGCAGATATTATACCATTAATTTGAGAGTGCCTATTTCATTTGGGCCCCTCATGCTTCTTCCAGCTTGCTTTTAAATCTCCAATTTTCTTTTCCTCTTTGGTTCTAGAGATACTATGATTGCAATTTCTGCTTTTTGTATGGTCTTAATATTTGCTGTAAAATTTTCTAATTTTTTTCAACATTAACTATATAAGAGAAACTGCTAAGTGCTTTGCATTCAATATCTCATTTGGTTTTCCCCACACATATGTGGTGCTATGATGTGCTGTTGGTTTCCACATTTTATAGAGAAAGAGAATTGAGACAAAGAGAGGTTTAGTAATTGCCTAAATTCACACAATTGGCAGGTGGCGTGGCAGAGTAGAGAAATAAAGTCTTTGTTTGAACTCTACAAATATTACTATGAACCACCTCAATTCTCCTAGAAATATTGAGAATTTATCATAGTAGGTGAAGGAAATCCCAAAAAGGAGAATATTTGGGACACTTTGCCAAATTAGTGGATAAATAACTCATATTTGGTTAAAGACAAAGGGAGATTACTTAATGAAGGCCTGTGGAACAATATGGACAAATAATTAGAAGGCCAAAGGACAACCAATAACAATAGCAATTGATAATTATAAGGCAAACAAATTATAAAAAACATTCATGATAATATTTCACAAGTTGTTCTGCTTCTTAGCTACCATTAGTACTAGCCCTTCTTCTGAATATTTTGTGATTGGTGTGCATTCATTAACCCACTAGTACAGATAATGTGCCCTGGGCTTATATTATGTGCCATCATTATGCTAAAAGATGTAGCCTTAGTGTACATGATGTAAGCATATTACAAAATGCAGTGAGGACAATGTTATGAGAAATAGATTTATGTGGGCTTGATATATGAGCAAGGATTAGAAATGTAGAGTTATATACAATCTTATATAACCGTGCAAGTATTGTATAACCTATGTATTCCTGAGCAGAGCATTCTGCTAATAAAAAAAAATTTGAGGGATCCCTGGGTGGCACAGCGGTTTGGCGCCTGCCTTTGGCCCAGGGCGCGATCCTGGAGACCCGGGATCGAATCCCACGTCGGGCTTCCGGTACATGGAGCCTGCTTCTCCCTCTGCCTGTGTCTCTGCCTCTCTCTCTCTCTCCCTGTGTGTGACTATCATAAATAAATAAATAAAAATTTTAAAAAAATTGATTTCTTTTTCAGTATGGCAGAAAAATCATTTTTTTATTTTCCATATCTCCCTAGTTATCAATAATCCTTGAAATGTTAACTAGAAAGTACAAGATTATGTACTTTTATTTTTTTTAAAATGTGAGTGGGGAAAGAGGTCATGAATGAACCAAAGATTGAGATGAATTTCAGGAAGATAGAATGCTACTGTGGTACGATTTATAGATTAAAACAATGGAGAAAAATAACAGCTCATAACATGGACAGATGTCATGAGTGGAGATTGGAGACATTTTTCATTGTTTTGCCCTTAGATTCAACAAGCATGAAGAGTAAAGGTTAGGAGAAAGGTAGAAATGGGAATGATTGGATGAACCATTTTTCACAATCTTTAAACATATCATGTATAATATATAATTTTTTATTTTCAGTCTAAAGTAAAGGAATCCTTTTCAAAACCAGAATGATCTTTTGGAATTTGATAAAACTTTCAGAGAGGAGTTCGGTACCTCAGAATAAGACCCTCTTCCTTCTGGCACTGCATTATCATTCAGGGCAGAAGCCAGGAATTCTGGGCCAGGGTGGTGGGGGCAACAGAGGGAGAACCTAGCCCCAGACTCTATATTTCAATGTTATCAAAGATGTGAGAAAAACCCTCAGCATGAACAAATATGACCAAGAGTTAATCAACCGAAACATGTAGCCCAAAGCAATAATAATTTCAGAAGAACATAATACTTTAAAAAATCTTAATTAGTATTTTATAACAGATTCACGATCTTGCACTAACATGGGAACAACTTACATTGAAAAAGGAGCAATGTGGAGACTTTATGGAATTTAAATTAGAACTTTTTCAGTACATGGTTTACATAAGAGACATGAAAACAACTTGAGAAAAATATAAAAGTCAAAAAGAAGCAGTCCAGGAGGGCTAGCACCTCTGTTAGCAGTTTCTGAGAATAGAGAGAAAGAAATTATGGGGAGCTTAACTGTAGGAAAAAATTTCCCAAAGCTTAGTAAAAATATGGCTCCTCAGACTAAAAGGAACCACGCAACACCAAGGAAGAATGAAAAACAGCCCATACATGATGTTACTGATGAAATTTTAAAATACCACAGACATTGTCATTTATTTACCCTATAGTCTTCTCCTATTTACTCAGAGGAATCTGAATAGTTGAGATAATAACCTAAGAGAAGGTCCAATACATCCCAGCCACAGGAAGTAAGCATACACTGCTTCTTGATCAGTGACCAAGTGAAGATTTTGTGAGTTATGGCTGATAAAATGAAAGGGGGAAGTTGGCTAAAGGGATTTTTGAGAAGGAGAATTTCTTTCTGATTAAGACAGAGAGAGAGAGAGGAGGAGGAAAAGGGGAAAGAGGAAGACAAGGAAGAGGAAAACAAAAGGGAAAGGAGTTCTTCATACTTTCTTGCATTGTGAGGAGGTCACTATGCTTAAAGTTGCTGCAGTGAACCTGCAACCATAAGGATAGAACCTAGAAGATTCAGAAAAGTTATCTGAGAACCTTCAAATCAACTCCATAAGCATCTGTCTTCATATTTTGTTTTATGTGAAAAATATAAACACCTTTTTATGTTAATTTCACTCTGTCCTTTTAGACAGATTAATAGATTAAATCTATAGATTAATAGCCTAAAATAACCTAAATGAACAAATTTAACCAAGACTGAAGAGAATCTCCAAAAGTTTTGGGAGTGTAGATCCCCAAAGGATTTAGAGTGATATGAACATTAAATTCTTTTTCAGGATCACTAAGTGTGAAATAACATCCTCGAAGTTTTGAGATGTCAATGAAATAACATCCTCGAAGTTTTGAGATAAATGGTTTTGAAAGTGGGATTCCCTAGCTTTCTAAACCATCAAGTATAAAGGTATTCAAACCTTTCCATCTGTGCTATAGCATTCTTGAAATAATTACAGGAGAATATATATTGGCAAAATGAAAAAAAAGAATCTAAGACATGAAGATGCCAAATCTGAAATGATTGGGGAGGAGCATGAAAGAGAGAGGAGAAAAAAACTCCTGTATGACAGCCACACAGCAGTCATGAAAAGTAGTCTATACAAAACTGATATTTTCTCAAAGAGCTGCACAATCCTAGTAGTATAATAAAGAAATATATGTATTTCTTCTTTCAATGAGATTAAAATAAACAAATAAAATAAGCATTAAAATTAGAAATTCCAGGAATAGCAAAAATGTACAAAAAAATCATGATCCAGGTAGGAAGCAATGTGGCATGATTTCTACTGAATAAAGAAGTTTAAGAAAATGGATGTCATTCAACCTTGGTGCTTTCAATGTTCTCCTTTGAATAGCATAGAAACTATTACCTGGTTCTTCAAAAGGGTCCATCACACAATATTTTAAAAATTGTCTTTTGTGGTTTATGTTTTTCAGAATAAACAGAGAGAGTCCAGGTTTTCTCAAACTTAGAGCTACTGACATTTGGTCCAAACAATTCTTTGCTGTAGGAGAGTATCCTGTTCACTGTAGGATATTTAGCAGCAGCCCCAACCTCTACCCAGTAGATGACTTTGAGACACCAGTCCTGATGATCTCAAATCCATTCTTTGCCAAATGTTCCTTCACAGGGAGGTGGCAAATATGCTTCTGGTTGTAAAAGTACTGTTTAAGGCTTTAAAAATTATATAAATGTTATAAATTTCGAATACATGATTGTAGAAGTATAGCTGAGAAAAGTTGAATGACGGTGTATTAGGAAAGAAGTGGTAGATGGAGGTAGAAAGATATCATTTTTTCTCCCCACTACTATGCCCACCCCACTGAGATCTACAAGCACCTCTGGCACAATCCTACTGAAGCTCTGCTCACTTCTCTGGGTAAGGCTTCTAGAGTGATCTGGTCCCGAGGTGAAACTCAGAAGGCCACAGGCTGACCAGTGGGGATTAGGCCAAATCATATTTCTTCTTATATAGGAAGAAACTAAGATACCTAAAGTTATTGAATCAATCAATAAATATTCAAGTTATTTAAGAATGTATTGATAAAAAAGAATGTATTGATAATAATAAACAGACTATATTTAAAAACACATTGGGAGGAGGAATGACTGCAGGATATAGAATGACTATTTTTCACAATAAATAATAAAGAATTAGAAATTGAGACTTAATGGCTTTAATACATTACTTGGAGTTACTGAGTTTACAATTAAGACTACTAAAATAGAAATAGTCAAAGAAGTTTTCTCTAAGGAAGAAAAAATGTGACTTTTCTTTGTAGCTTTATGTTTGTGTTTATATATACGTTACTTTGATTATAATTTGAAATATTTCTTAAACAATGGTTTTATTTACCTTTGAATTTGTCTCAGTATCTCACCCTACCTAAATAACCTTTGGGGTCATCAGTTTGCACAACGAAGGGAGTTCTAATTGCAATGAAAAGGGAAATTTTAGTCAATCTATAGGAATTTTTACTTTCCAAAACAACTTGGCCAAGTTTTTCTGATATTGGGTGCTGAATGAATACTTTTTAAACACTGCAATTCAATTTCTTGCCTGTTAATGTGAGACTCCTTTTTCAGTCGTTTAGCCTGGCTTGATGTCCTGCCACCCTTTCTCTAGATGTCAGTGAGATAATCAAAACTCAGGCACTTAAGAAGTCTTCGCAAACCATTAACACTTAGCCCTCAAATTAGGGGTCAGCAATTCAACTCAGAGTAGACAGCATCTGAGAGCTCACCTAAGGGGATATAGCAATAATCCCTCAGCAGCTATTCCTTAATCTTTGCTGGCAGAGGCTTTAAAGACAACTCAGAGTTCATTATGCAAATGGAATTGTCTGGATCTACTGACAGTGAAGCTGAACTGGACAGACCCTGGGCATAAATATCCACTGGGTATATTCTACCACCGGCAAGGACACACATTCTTAGATCTGGATATAGTATCCTGCAATTAATAAAGGGCAAGAAAGTTCATCTTGAAGATGAGTCACAGATAACTTAGAAACTTGGACAGAATCAAAAAGTAGTGAATCTTCTTTATTATATCTAGTCTTTAATGAATGCTGGAACCTTTCTGAAGCTCTGAAATACTATTCGCTGTAAAATGTACCCATACAACCATAGTACACAAATACATATACTCATTAAACACTCAATTCAAATATAGACATATATTTGTACACATATTTGAATTTGTATATGTGCATATGTATGTGTGGTCTAAGTATGTATGAGGGGTGTGGAGAAAGAGAGAGAGAAAGAACACAGTGTCCAGTAGCTGTGAGATATGGGGCAAGTTACTTATAGATGTAAGTTTTCCTCCTTATACAATGAAACTAATAAAAATATCATCCTGAAAGGATTTGGTCATGTTTTTGTGGGGCTCACATTAGATGATTTATGTGTAATATTAAGATTATTTAAAAAAAAAACATTAAGATTATTTTTTAGATTTTCTAAAAAAAAATGTTTTAGTGGATTCATTTGTAAATTCCTTTACTTTGAGCACTACTTTGAGATACTTAAAATCTGACTTGGTTAAGAAATCTGCAATTACTCTACAAGTTCTCAGAATGTATTTTTTTGTGTGTGAACAGAAGCACATCCAGTTGGGATCTACCACCCTTAAAGCCATGCATCATCATTACTGTATGCCCAGTCCCTCTGGTTCACAGCCTCATGTCATGGTCAGGAGTGGTTACTAAAGACCTTATTTGTGCCGAGAAAGACTCCAAAGGACTCTATGTAAGACTGTCTAGTATCATTCCATTCTTCATGTTACCTTAACCTGAAAGATAAAGATTAGGATATAAATTAAGTGCCAATTAAAATGAGATAATGAGGGCAGCCCCAATGGCGCAGCGGTTTAGCGCCGCCTGCAGCCTGGGGTGTGATCCTGGAGACCCAGGATCGAGTCCTATATCGGGCTCCCTGCATGGAGCCTGCTTCTCCCTCTGCCTGTGTCTCTGCCTCTCTCTCGCTCTCTATGAATGAATAAATAAATCTTAAAAAAAATAAAATAAAGGCAGTCCCTTGGGCTACTTAAAAAAAAAATGTGATAATGAGGGGATGCCTGGATGGCTCAGTGGTTGAGCCTCTCCTTTGTTTCAGGTCATGATCCCAGGGTCCTGGGATCAAGTTTGGCATCAGTCTCCCTGCAGGGAGCCTGCTTCTCCCTCTGCCTGTGTCTCTGCCTCTCTCTGTGTGTCTTCATGGGTAAATAAACAACACCTTTTTAAAAAATGAGATAATGTTGGTGTTTGTTAATTCAAATTGGCAAATAAATATTCACCATAAAAATACATATTTACTTTATAATACTAATTGGTGACACAATGAAACTTGTGGCCTACATTGTTGGTGCTAGTATAAACTAATCAACATATCTGAAATGGGATGTCAGTTACTGAAAGACTTATACATGTTCATCCACTTTGATAGTGCAGTGACATTTTTAGGAATCTAGCTTAGAGAAATACATTATGTACAAGAAAGTCGTGTATCGATAGTCACAATATTGTTTTAAATTTTCAATGTAAATGCCTATAATATAAATGCCTATAATTGTAAAAAAAAGGCTAAATAAATAAATTCTAATATGTCCATAAATATAATGGATAATGAAATATATATATATATATACATATAAATATATATATGTGATGTGGGAAAGTTTTATTGTATAATTTAAGCAAAATAAAAGGATATAGGAATATTAGCTCTCATATCCCCTCAACACACACACACACACAAATATAGGAAGAAAAGAATCTGCTTTAAATATTAGCAATAGATTAATGGCTACTTTTGTTTTCTTATGATTACTCTTCTTTTTTCCATGTGTTATACAATGAGCATATATGACTTTTATAATGAGAAAGCCACTATTATTTAATAAAATAGACATTTAAAACTTAATGTATTTCTGTAGTATTTTGTTTTTCTGTTTGCTCATTTCCAACATGAAATATCCCTTTAAGCAGAGTGAAATGGGAAATGTTTGCTATGAGCCAAGAATGCACAAATTAAAGTAAGTGAAAGCATGCAGTTTTCAAAAGCTATTGACATTATTTCAGAAATTCATCCATCTTGTTCTTTTAGCTAGTTTTTGTAGGGTTTTTTTTTTTTTTTGGTGGGGGGTGAGAAGATTCAGAAATTAAATGACCTTTTCTAACTAACCACACACAGATGTAGTCACAGGTAATGATGGTATTATGTAAGCTCAGTATGTGCAGTAAACCTTAAAATGTGTATTCTACCAACTAGCAATTTTCCCAATCAGCTTTTATTTTGCAGTGCCACCATCCTGTAAAGCCCTAATCATGGAGGTGGCTCTGGAGAAAGAGCTATGTTCTCTTTGAACTCAGTGGGTAATGAATGTGTAAGGACTAAATGTGCTTTTTCCTCTCTGTAGCACAGTGTGCCTTCCTGGCTTTGCAGTCGTTTTCTCCAATTCAATACAAATTCTTGTAATTTCTCCCAGAAATAAATGCTATTAAATGCCCTACTTCTCTTTCATATGTCAGAAACTTTCCACCCTGCCATCAGCTTTATTTTTGTCACAATTAAAAATCTACATCATCAGCCAGAGACAGACAGACCCCAAGTAGCCAAAGTTGTCAGCTAGGACTATGTACAATTTCCAATGGGAAGTACATAATTAATAAAGACAGGCAGTGTAATGGGCATCACTGTCCTTCGTCTCTCCTGCTATACCTGGCTGGTTTTGTTAGGTCTAAATAAATGGCTCACAAGTTATCACATACTCACACAAAGATAGAAAAAAACCCTAATCAAAACCAGTACTATGATCACTTCCTAAATTTTAATCCTATCTGATTTATGATGGCTTTATTCAAACTCCATATATAGAAGCAGAAAACAGGCTTCGCTGTTAAAAAAAAAAAAAAAAAAAAAAACTATCGCTTGGCTGACCTCTATTTCAGACTAAGAATTGCACAATTGCTGGAGGCCATTCAAAATGCCTTGGGATTTTATTTATTTATTTATTTATTTTAGATAGTGTGAATCACTCGAGTTAGGTGTTAATTGAATTAATATGTACAGAGTCAAAGAAGAGAAAATTGAGAAATTGATCTTAAATTTGAAATAATTATTTTTATAGTTATTCTAAAATGCTTGTTCATCTTTAAAAACAAATATAGCATGGCATGTCCCACTTGGGAAAGATCACACAGGAAAACATACACATGCAAGCTGAGGTCTAGAATCACTGAGGTGATTGATCTATCTAGGATAATGTCAACCAATGTATAGTAGATTTAGGAGCAATAATCTGATTGGGAAGTACAAAATCCTACCCAATAAAATCTAGTCCTAAAATACTATGTTGTCCACACTGCTCATTTCAGAGGACATTAAAATGAATGAAAGAAGTCATTTTTTAATCACTTGAATAGACTCATATGGGTCGTCTAACTCTATTACACATAAGAAAGCCAAGACATAGAGAAGTCAATGACTTAAGTGGCCTCACAGAGATAAAAAATAGCAGCACTCAGCCTCAAAACCAGGCAATCCAACTCCAGAAGCCATTTTCCTAGTCACTACAGCTCAGCACCTCTTTCGCAGGGTCTGATTAATTACCCATTGCTTTAGCGAGCCCAGCAGTTCCTCTGAGGTGTTCACAGCGGACTTCTGTGATTCTGCCATGGAATATCTGCCTTGATCTGTTTAATAGAATGGAGTTCTATGTGAAATTGCATTTAAAAAGAGAAGAGCATACAACATATTTCACAAAAAAGTACCACATTTGAGGAGTCCCAATCCCCTCAGGGTCTTATAGTACTTCAGAGTCAACGCTGAAGGCATTAATTTGCACCACAGATAGCTGTTAAGATGTACTATTAAATAAAGACTTTTGGCTGATGCTAGGAGAGTGGTGGGAATGAGGAGTAGTGGAAGAATCCAAGATGCCTTTTTATGATGT